CATGGCTTGTCGAAAACTGTTAAACGATGGACGTCTTCTACCAGTAAAATCAAGGTCTCACAACCGTAAAGCAGAACACCTCGGTGATTAACAGCAGACGAGGAAAGCCCCATATTCATGAGGATCTGCTGTTCAGTGATGTAAACCGGTAACCTAAAACCCGGGGCTGGCGAACCACATATGGATTAGATTAGGAGATCAGAGACTCAAAATCAGGACCCTACTACTATAAGCCACTTGAGAGCGCCAGATTTGTCCTCGGGGTGCGTTCTTCGCTCATCAGGCGACGATGAAGCCCGCTCAGTGGGTCAGCGCGGGGTAGGTATTGTACTCAGTAACAAGGCTGAGTCCTCCTTTATCGATTGAATCCCCGTCAGCAGTCGTTTGTGTGCAGTGCGTCTCCAGGGTTCAATCAGCGTCCGGAGGAGAAGCAACAACAAAAGGTATTTGTTCATCGTGTCAGCATATGCATCGAATTCTTTGGTTCTGTGCAGACCATCATATGTTTCTATCAAGCACCAACTTCCGACACAGAACTGACACTTTAACGTTCCCATCATTCAACACGCTCTCAATTCCGCCAAATTTTATCTCCAATCAACGCATACCGCAGTCCACCCATACCGTATCTTGCTCGTATACTCATAAACAAAGAGCGGACAATAAGTGAACTTTGTCCTAACCTTGAATTATGAAATATCCCATGTCTGTAAAAACTTTTCTCCCCGTTGATTATGGACATTGTGACGGTTAGCGAATGATTTTTTAACTGAAACGTGAGCTCCAGTGTTTGAAGAAGTTATAATACAATACAATACTTGGGTTCACCAGGGTTCAATTAGCGTCCGCAAGGGAAGCAACACTAAAAGGTGTTTGTTCAAGGTATCAGCATATGCACCGACTGACTGCAGTTCTGATACACAAACCGACGCTTTCTACGATGAAATCACCGATCTCATGCGGCTGAGTCAAAGCTCCGACATAGTTGTACTTGCTGGTGACTTTAACGTGCAAGTTGGAAAACTGAGCGCATCAGAAGCTTGTTTAGGCGGAAGTTGTCCTCTGCCGTACCAACGAACAGATAAGTGCGATCGACTTCTTCAGTTCTATGCAGACCATCATCTGTTCCTATCAAGCACCAACTTCCGACACAACTCTCAACGGACGGTAACGTGGTGCTCCAGTTTAACTGGTACGTTAACTCAAGTCCACCACATAGCAGTAAGTTACCGTTGGCGTGGCTCGGTGCAAAATTGCAGGTCCTATTGGACCACCTGCGTTGAGTCTGACCACGTATTAGTTCTGATGCAGTTCACTCTCTGACTGATTGGTCGGCGACAAAACCAGCAGGTTCAGATAGCTCATCAACGACTATCTGCTCCAGCAGTTAATGCACTCTATGAGTCAGAGCTAGTGCGTAAGCTAAGTGCGCTTCAGCGTGATGTAGACGAGCAGTGGGATCAGATTAGGCGAGCAATGCACTCCGCAGCGAATGTTGCTTGTGGGTCTGAGCCTCAAACCCGTCGGAGGCATTGGATATCTCAGGAGTCAGTAGTCCTGATGGAGAAACAACGGCAAGTCCCGATCGTCACCAAAGTGCTGGCGTCGGTTATACTTCGGCGTCTGACGTCTTAAAGAGAGACCAACATCCGTGAACAGCAAGCCGGATTCCGGCCTGGCTGTGAGTATATTGATTCGATTTTTACTTTGCGTAAGATCCTTGAGCTGCGTCATACTCACCGTCGGCCAACGATCGCAGTGTTCCTTGACCTGAAAGGAGCCTTCGACTCAGTTGACCGCGAAGCTCTGACGGGTTTCCCTTTTCGGAAAGGAATGCCCCAGAAGTACGTTAGCCTACTGAGGTCACTGTACTCACATACCTCCGGTCGTGTAAGGGTCTACAACAAACTAAGTAGGCTGTTCGTCACCAGCAGCGGCGTTCGTCAAGGGTGCCCTCTTTCGCCGTTCCTGTTCAATTTCGTCGTCGACGAAATACTGGAGAGCGCACTAAGGGGACTCCAAAACGTGGATATGGAATGGACAGCTGGAGAAAAGCTGTGCGATTTGGAGTACGCCGATGACATCGTCTCTGTTCGAATGTATGAGGACGCGCAAAGTGCATTTAATAGATTAACAAGTGCAATGGCCACATTCGGTTTGTGCTTTGCACCTTCAAAGTGCAGTGATGCCGCAGGACCGGGTTTCGCCTACACGCTCTGAAACTGAATGACCATGAATTAGTTATGAATATATGAGCATCTATAAATAAATTAACGGGCAACTATAATTTCATTGCCATGTACGATTGGCTTACTTCCAACAGGAGAATGATCCATACCCTGCACAACTTCCTGACGTTTTCACTTCAGGTGATAATCTGACCACCTTAATCTAACTCCACTACTGGCTGAGTCAGAGGACTTCACAATTTTTATTACACATTTTGAAGAGCAGACGGTAAAACCCGTTGTCACATAGATCTGCTATTCAATGATGAAAATCGACCTTAACCCCGGGAATTGGAGTTGCGAACCACCTAAGGCCCCGGTAGGAAGAGGCCAAATCGACAAAATGTTGCATATTCCGACCGAAAATTTGTTGAAGTTGAGCACTTGAGTGTCCCTTACTGCGATCAACTATTACTCGTTGATCAACTTCATCACAGGTTGCCCGGTTAACCAATAGCAATTCAAGGAATTCGGAGCAGACAGGGCTAAGTATCACTCAGTGCTCACCTACTCCTTATCAATATATACATATATACGGGTTGCAGGGATAATGAATGATGCACGAATACGACACTCAGCCGTATCACTCGGTGTTTCTGACCACCGGTTACCATTATGTCGAAGTCCAAATCCAGGAAGCTCAACGGTACTTATGTGATCTAGTGTCTTGTTTGGGGTTTTCACACATGTCACATCTGAGTTTGACTGCCGTTGACCTTTTCCCATCCGCTGCCCGCTGTCGTACGCCGTGGTAACCTATTTGATGTCCCAACTATCGTAGTCCATGGAGGTAAACCACTTCCTCCAGTGGACGATGGCGTCGGTGACAGCCGAACGTCACGCCCCCACACTACGTCATCTTTTCTTAGTCTTCTA